GGGGTACTAGGAGTTTGGACACTAAACCCTAATCCCCAAACCCTAAACCCTAAACCCCAATCCCTAAGCCCTAAGCCCCTAGGGCTATTAAGGTGGATACTAGGAGTTTAGACTATAGCTCATATCAGAGTGACATTTGCAGCCTCAGTAGCTAAAGATTATTACAGCATCTCCAATTGACACGGCATCTCGCATCAGCAAAGCGTTTTTGCGGTCCCACAATCAGATATATGCACCTCATGACAGTCCCATTTTGGTCATAAGGGTGCCGATGATAGTACTGAATACTGTAGAAGCCCGAATAATTCCCAATATTATGATTCCAGATTCCTTGTATGAATATGGCATGGGGTACCTCAAAGCGATATTGTTATGTCTTCAGGCCCCTACATTCCACAATCCGTATAGCAGCCTTTAAATCCCTCCACGGAGGCAATCCTACTAGAAGTCTGTATATCCCTCCACAGGCAATCCCTCAAGGTAACCTCTTTTTGGAGGGTCAAGGGGCCATGGTAAGCACACTCATACTGAGGATAAATGGGGTCTTTATATGGTTCAATGGGGTTAGAAGTGCCCTTACTACGCACCCCTGAACCTAAGACCCAAACACCAAATTTAAGACCGAAGGTACACTATCTGCTTACTAAATCCCCCTGACCCTCGGAGTTGTGATCAGCTCTTGTATCATCCTCTGATGGCGAGGTCACCTCATCCAGAAAGAGCAGATGGTTCATGCCGCGCGGGCAAAGCTGAAGAGCAAGAAGTAAGGCACTCCGGTGCTTTCAAGCAGTAGTAAATCGTATCATAGTTTTCATAGTCATCATCCCTACACCAAACCTGCACCAGCATCGCTACACCTTAAACCCAAACATCCAGGCCCTAATCCCTGCACCCGAAACCCGCCACCTTTCACCTCATATGCCGTGCACTACCGAAAGATCCCACAGCCCCTAAACTGAAGAAACCCAAAGCCCAATCCCTACACGGTAAACCCAAAAACTCAAGCTCCCGAGTGCCTGGCTCTTGCAATGCCCCGACGTGAAAAGTCGAACCCAAACGTGCGCGGCAACAAAGTGCCCCAGTTCTTGTTAAGGGGTGACGGCTAGGTGCAGTTTCATCTCTTAGTAGGGAGTGAGGGATATATGATCCCTCTGTATTATTTTCCCTTATTCCCTCAAGTTGGTGTTTGGGTGCCGTAGGAGTTCCAGTTTCGCGCTCTGGGGATTCGGTGCTAGGGATCAGGGATTCAGGGAGTTGGAGGCGGGCAGGTTGACTCTATCATAAATAGGAAGTAGGGTTCAGGGTTTGTATAGGGTTTACTGTGTTTGGGGTCCAGGGTTGAGGGTTGCGCATAAGCCTTGAACCACAAGATCCTTCGAAAGCCCGTATAAAGCATGGGTACGGGGTGGTCAATAAAAGATTGCCCGCTCTTGGGCTCCTGTCAAAATACAGCCCCGAATACATAAGGGACCCGAAACAGGGCAATGTTGATAACCCTCCAATTCCGAAGCCTTCACTTCCCGGTATGTAAGCCTCATGTGCATTTCATTTTCCATGCTGTTAGACCCTCCGACTACCCTCTACATACCCTAAATACCCACTAGTAAGGACCACCTACCCCTATCACAGGGCACAAGGAGGGTCCTCCATCTGATTATCCACTTTTAACCTTATTTCCCGTAGGCCAACCCTGAGGGTAACCCACCCAATAACCATATACTTACCCCAAAGCTGTACTATAGTAATTGTTACACAAGTCCTAAGTACCCAATTATTAGGTACATGGACCCTTAGGGTAACTTTTTCAACTCCCCATCGCCATATCAGATTCGCTTGGCTCAGACGGGGGTCGCGTGTCAGTGGGAGATACGCCGATGCTCCACAGTTAGAGTACCCGTGGCAGCACAGATCAGGCTTGGGGAGTGTTGGGTTGTAGAGTTTATAGTCCACCCTTAAGTAGATGGAATATGGCTTTGGGTATGTTATAATAAGATCCCCATATACCCCATATTCTATCTACTTAAGAGCTACTATAGATTTTTGGGTTTGTGTTTTCTGGCTTGGGGCTTGGGTGCAGGTTGTACGGCATTCAGGATCGCCTACCGCCCCCATATACTCTCCCCATAAGCTCCCCCACGGGCTAAAAAAAAACAAGAATCTCGGGGGTCCGCACAGACGTGACGGGGGTGCTAGGGAACCCATGACTTGACAGATAGGATCCCTGTGTGGGGCTTCGGGATTGCCAGAGAATAGGCAGGAGAACAAAGCAACCTGACGTTCCGATGGGGCTTTACATACAATATGCTTGCTAGTCGCTGTACTTCCTTGATGCCAGAGGCAGGGGGTTAAAGCTAGCCTAAAAGAGCCCTTCGCAAGCTTCAGACGTTCTGCCTCTGCTAGTGGGGGGTTCATGCAGTGCCTAGGGATGTAGATGTAGCGACAACGACTAGGGGTTACCATCGTAAGGGGCCCACATGTTCAAAAGAATAGCCTATATCCATGAAGTCGACGCATCACGCTGATTGCAGGTACACGGGGCTCAGGAGTCTCACAAGCCCCGTAAGCTCGCTGTAGTTGTTGTTTCATGCGTATCAACTCTTGAAAGCTGAGCCTTTCCTCGCTTCAACCCTTGACGGAGAACAACAAGTTTCTAAAAAGCAGCTGAGGGTTTTCCAGACCGCGAAACATGGCGCAAACCATGACGTAACCCGGCTGCAGCGGAGCAGTAAGGGATTACAAGACCATCTCTCCACAGGTCAACCCACCCCCATTAAACGGACAATATAAAGCTGCAGATGGCCTAGACGAGTTCTAAATCCGGGGGGAGGGTAGCAGTGTAACCCCATATACCCCCTATTCTATCTACTTAAGGGGAACTAACCATAACAGCAGTTCGGATAATAGTGTTGCTAGACCGCGAAGTATTGAGTAAGGTGCGGTATTTCGCAAGGGATCTAGGTCATTTGGGGGCTTCCCCAAAATTAGGGGTACCCCTCCGAAGGGGTCCCTATAAGAATGGTCTATATCGGGTTTCCGTTACTTTTGCAAACTACCAAATTCCAGGAAAGACGTAGCTCCGCGGGCTTTAGGTTTGTGGAATGGCTTTCCCTAGGGATCCAAGCATACAAATACTACCAACATTCGGCCCTAGAGTCTGTAGATGTTACCTACACTTGGGCCATGTGGATCCCTAGGGTTATATAAATGAAGAACCCTAAACCCTAAACCCAATATAGGACTCTCCCAAACCAGAGCCGAACATTGCACAAAGCACGGGGAAATCATGTCCACACAGTCATACGGTGGATACTCAACATCCTGGGTCCCTTCAAAAGGGATAGAGGAGTTTTAGGCGTTCTATAGCGATCTGTCGGGTTGAGAGTGTAGGGTGGATACTGACAATTCCTGCATGGCCCTAATTACAGCATACTGAGGGAACTATGGCATTATACTATACCAAGGTCATGCAGGATCTTTAGAATCAACTGTATTTCCAGCTTTTTTTGTATCCTCCCCAACCCCCCCTATCCCAACCCCCCCCCTTTTCAGAAATTTAGTATATTATTTCTTAGAACACCTAGCCTGCTTCCACCACCCCGAGTACTAAACCAAAACCCTGTAATGTAAGATAGCTTCAAGCTCGAAACCCTCGACGTAGACTTAGACCCTAAACTCTGTAACCCACCTACACCCCCCAAGTACCCTAAAATAGGGTTTATGTAGCTTCGATTTGGGGATACTTAGGTCTATAGGGGGTCTAGGCATTTTTCCACCTTTCAAGCCTGAACTTTACAAACGCGTGCAAATCGTCCACCCTCGAGCCTGAAGCTTCAACCCTCCGCCCGTAATCCCCAAACCCTAAACCCTACTATGTAATATTATGGCCTTTTGGGCGATTATTAAGGGTTTAGGGCTATAATTTTACATACTTTATTGGGGTTTAGGTATACCCTATATACCCTATATAATATACCTTAAACCCTAAGCCCTATCATAGTTACATACCCTGGGCCGCGCCTAAGTGGCATTTCAGAAGGATCATCCTGAGGGGAAAAGCTCCAAAAAAAAAACTTACATACCCATATGATGGTAACTTAAATCCTCAACCCTAGAACTCTCAACCCTATAGTAGTTTCCATGTTCTTCTCCATTCTCCCTATATAACCCCAAGATATGATCCTAACCCTAATCCCCAAAAGCCTAAACTCCTACGTAAACCCCCTTAAAACCTTTAACCCTAAACCCTATAGTAGTTTCCGTTTTCTTTTCCTCTCCCTTCGACAACCCCAAGATGATCCCGAACCCTAAACCCCCAACACCCTAAACCCCTAAACCCCCTAAAGCCCTCAACCCTAAACCCTAAACCCCACTGTAGCTTCCATGTTTCCATTCCCCCTTATACAACCCCAATCTATGATCCTAAAACCCCTATATATCCCCTATGTTAACCCCCTACCCTAGACCCTAAACCCTAAATCCTAAACCCTAAACCCTACCCTAGGCCCTAAACCCTAAACCCACTATCCCCTATGTAACCCCACCTTTTGGGCCCTTTTGGGGGATCCTTTCTTCCCTAGAAAAAAAAGGATACCGGGAGTCCCGGGCTGGTCCGCCTGGAGCAGCCAGATCCCAAGGACGCGTTCTGGTTTAGGGTTTAGGGTGTATAGGCTATTGGGTATATAGGGTTTAGGGTATATAGGGTTTAGGGTTTGGGGTTTGGGGTATAGGGTTAGGGTATAGGGTTTAGGGATTGGGATTTAGGGTATTTAGGGTATAGGGTTTAGGGTATAAGGTTTAGGGTTTAGGGTTTACCTATACCCCCAATCACCCACAATTTAGTAGTCATGGTGGAGAATCAAATGGAAAATGAACTGGAACATGAACTGGAAGCTGTGATTATATAAAGGTGTTTAATGTGTAACGCCAATTACTTCAGTTTACTTACTGGTTCTTTGTAGGGAGTATGAGAGTGCAATCCCTATGTAATATATTCCCATTGTCCCTACTAAAAACCAGTACATTTAGTAGTAATTACCCCTTATCAACAAGTATAACTCCTAGAGACTGTAGGTAGGTGGGTAACAGGTAGGGTAGGTTTCGGGTCTAGTGCGCAGGGGTGGGGAGGATTTAGAGATGTCAGGGTTTCTGGGTTTAGGGGTTAGACCTGTGGGGTTTAGTATAGGGTTGCGGATGTTTGTCGGGGAGTTGGAGAATGCGTCGGAGTTGGAACTAAACACCGTTCCCCACCGAACATGAAACTCTGGTTCAGGGACTAAGGGTGCGGGACTCTGGGTTTGTCATTCAAGTAGATGGGACAGCGCCCGGGTTGCTTCCGGAGCAGCCGAGACCATAGGACCCTAATAGCATTGCGCATGAGAAGCCACGGCGCCGTGCACTCTTCCCGCCTGCAACTTAGCCTACGCACCGGAACCTGGCCACAAGCCCGAAACCCTTATATAGCCCCAATATTCTATATAGTAGTTTCCATTCTATTTTCAATTATGCCTATATAACCCCAATATAATACTACTCCCCAGACCCTGAACCTGAAGGATACCCCTGCGCTGTTAGTATTCCTATTACTGTTGTGATGCCAGACCCATGTCCCAGCATCATTGCACTATAGTCCCCCTTAAGTAGATCGAATATAGCTTTGGGCATACTATAATAAGATCCCCATGTACCCCATGTTCTATCTACTTCAGGGGAACTATAACCTCTAAACCCTAAATCCTAACCCCTAAACCCTAAACCCCATATTCTATCT